CCTCTCCCTTTCTTTCTTTCTTTTTCTTTCTTTCTTTCTTTCTTTCTTTCTTTCTTTCTTTCTTTCTTTCTTTCTCTTTCTCTCTTTCTCCTTCCTTCTTTTTTATTTATTTATTTATTTTTTAAAGATTTTATTTATTTATTCATGAGAGACACAGAGAGAGAGAGGCAGAGGGAGAAGCAGGCTCCCAAGGAGCAGGGAGCCCGATGCGGGACTCGATCCCAGGACCCTGGGATCATGACCTGAGCCGAAGACAGACACTTAACGACTGAGCCACCCAGGCACCCTCTCCTTCCTTCTTTTATATGACTATCTAATTATTCCAGCATCATTTGCTGAAAAGATTGTCCTTTCTCTATTTAACTGATTTGGCACATTGGTCGAAAATCAAGCAACCATAGGGACACCTGGGTGGCTCAGTCGGTTAAGCATCTGCCTTCGGCTCAGGTCATGATCCCAGGGTTCTGGAATCGAGTCCCACATTGGGCTTCTTGCTCAGCAGGGAGCCTGCTTCTCCCTATATCTGCTGCTCCCCTGCTTGTACTCTCTTTCTCTCTCCCGTGCTCTCTCTCTGGCAAATAAATAAATAAAATCTTAAAAAAAAAAAAAAAGAAAATCAAGCAACCATATATGCATGACTCTATTTCCAAACTCTTGATTCTATCATATCAAACAAAAGTTACCCAACTTTGCTTTTGTTTTTCAAAATCAACTTGGCTGATCTAGGTCCCTTGTATTTTCATATAAACTTTAGGATAAGCTTGTCAATTTATACTGAAAACATCTGCTGGCATTTGACTGGAATTGCATTGAATCTCTAGATTAATTTGTTGAGAATGGACAACTTGATGATATTGAGTCTTTTGATCCATGAATATGGTATATCTCTCGATTTATTTAGGTCTTCTTTAATTCGACTCTGCAAAGTTTTGTGCTTTTCTGTTTATAGATCTTGTCTTTCTTTAGTTGGATTTATCCCTAATATCACATTTTCCCATGCTGTTGTTAAATGGCATTGTGTTAAACATTTGATTTCTGATTGCTACAAGTATATAGAAATACAAGAGATTTTTGTATCTTGACCTTGTCTCCTGTAACCTTGCTAAACTCATTTATTAGTTCTACTAATATTTTTGTAGATTTCTTAGGATTTTCTACAATTTTTTTTAAAGATTTATTTATTTATTTATTTGAGAGAGAGAGAGAGTACATGAGAGGGGGGAGGGTCAGAGGGAGAAGCAGACTCCCTGCTGAGCAGAGAGCCCGATGTGGGACTCGATCCCGGGACTCCAGGATCATGACCCGAGCTGAAGGCAGTCACTTAACCAACTGAGCCACCCAGACGCCCACGATTTTTTACAATTTTGTCATCTGCAAATTAAAGATAGTTTTATGTCTTCCTTTCTTGTCTAGATGACTTTTATTTATTTTTTTCTTTCCTTATTGCACAACTAGAACCAATACTGAATAGAAGTGGTGAGAGTAGACAGCCTGGCTTCAGTCCTGATCTTGACAGGAAAGCATTCAGTCTCTCACCATTAAGTATGATGTTACCTGTAGGTTTTTCATAGACGTCCTTTGTCAGGTTGAGGAAATTCACTAATTTTCCTAATTTGCTGAATGTTGTTTATCAGGAATGGATGTTGAATTTTGTCAGATGCACTTTCTGTATCTATTGAGATGATCATATGGTCTTTCCTCTATAGTTTGTTAATAATTTAGTTTGTTAATCTTGATTTTTTAATGTTAAACCAGCTTTGCCTTCCTCGGATAAACTCCACTCAGTCATGATGCGTTGCCCTTCTTAGCATAATGTTGCATTTAATTTTCTAAATGTTTGTTAAGGGGCGCTTGGGTGGCTCAGTCGTTAAGCAACTGCCTTCGGCTCAGGTCATGGTCCCAGGGTCCTGGGATCAAGTCCATATTGGGCTCCCTGCTCTGCGGGAAGCCTGCTTCTCCCTCTCCCACTCCCCGCTGCTTGTGTTCCCTCTCTCACTGTGTCTCTCTCTCTCAAATAAATAAATAAAATCTTTTAAAAAAATGAATAAATGTTTGGTAAGAGTTTTTGTGTCTATGTTTGGAAAAGATATTGGTTTATAGTTGTTATATCTTTTTCTGACTTTGGAATCAGGGTGATGGCCTCAAAAAATGAGCTGGAAAGTGTTCTCTCTTTTTCAATCTTCTGGAAGATTTTGGGCATAATTGTTACTATTTTTTTTTTCTTAGTTGTTTGGCAGGATTCACCAGTGAAGCCATGATGTGTCGATCTCAGAGAGTCAGGGACCTGGGGCAGCGAAGGAACTGAGAAAAAGAGATGACAGTAGAGTGAGGCACAGGGGACCCCAGGGAGCGAGGGAGCGGCCTCGGTGCTGAGGTTTATTTTCCATCCTCTTACATAAACCTTCTACAGCGATATAGATCTATAATGGTTTACAGCAGGGGCGTAGTAAGGCACATTCCTCCATGTATACAGGATTAGTCAAGCACGTAAGAATCTTTAAAACAGAATAAAGGAACAGAGGGGAGTGCCCAGTGTGCTGTTTACAGGACAAGGGAACAAAGAGGGGAGTGCACAGTGTGCTGTTTACAGCTGGCTTCCTATCTACAGAACATCTTCTGCTGCATACTTTAGAACTGACCACACACGTTCCAAGGGCATCTCACTCTGATCCTTTCAGGTTATTTTTAACCCTGCAATCTCGAGTTTTCTCAGAGATCTCAGAGTCTGAGTGAACATGCACCAGTGGTCGTTGTGGCGTTCTGTTTCCCACAATGGGGGCCTGGAATTTCCTCTGTGGGAAGGTTTTAACCCACAACCTCAATTTCTTTCACAGATATAGGGCTAACAATGTTATCTATTTCTTCTTAAGCAAGCTTTGCTAGTTCATATCCTTCAGGGAATTTGTTAATTTCATCTAAGTTGTCAAATTTGTTGGCAAAATGTTGCTCATAGTATTTCCTTATTTTTTAAATATCTGTAGGATTGGTAGTGATGCTTCTTCTTTTACTCCTGATATTGGTAATGTGTGTCTTTTCTTTTCTTTTTTTTCCTCATCAGTACATCTAGAGATTTATAAATTTTATTGACTTCTCAAAGAACCAGCCTCAAGTTTCACTGACTTTCTTGATCATTTTCTATTTTTCTGATTTCTGTTTATTATTTCCTTTCTTTTACTTACCTTAGTTTAAATGACCTCTTTTTCTAATTTCTAAAGGTGAAAGCTGAGATATCGGATTTGAGACTTTCTTCCTTTCTAATGTAATCACTTAATGATATTAGTTTTTCCTTGAACCACTTCTCTAGCTTCATCCCACAAATTTTGATGTGCCATTTTTAAAAATTTTCATTCAATTCCAAATATTTTCTAATTTCCTTTGTGATGAATTCTTTGGCCCAGGGTTATTTAGAAGTGTCTTGTTTAGTGTGAAGGAGTTTTCCAAATACCTCTCCACTACTGATTTCTAATTTCTCTCCATGAGGATCCAAGAACATACTTTGTATGATTTGAATTTTTACACATTTATTACATGTGAAGCAAGGCTAGAGAACCATGGAAGCCTGTTGGTGGGGGAAGCGTGGTCTTTATCTTGAGCCACCAGAAAGTTTTAAGCAGGTAGAGGATTTGATTTGAATTGTGTTTGATTGGCCTGGTGTGCACTGGATTTGACAGAGGGAAATGGGGATGCCTGGGATGGGAAACCTATGGCTTGAGGCTTCCGAGTCATCCAAGGAGAGTGGGCAGTTGCCTAGAGGGTCTGGCTCTCCAGGGAAGGGTGTGGGAGTAACTCTGTGACAGGGCTGCAGATGTCAGGCCTGGAGGTCTGGAGGTGAGGGTGAGGAGCCTGGTGTGCTGGAAAGAGCTCTGGACTGGGAGCCCGGCCTCCTGGCCAGGGCTCAGCCATGGGACTCCAAGCATGTCACTCCACCTCTCTGAGTTTTAGTTTTCTTACCTCTAAAGTAGGTGGTCAGCCTCAGTGATCCCACAGTTTTAGCAGCATGGGCTGCTGCCAGCACAGGGAAGGTTTTTGTGTGAATTAGGCAAAGGTGACCCCTTGAGATAGACAACCGAAGGGTGCCCCTGTGATGTAAGGCCTCCAACTAAGGCCCTGTATGATGTGCTGCCTTGACATGTAGGGAAACCAGGAGGGTCTCAAATGGCCGAACTGCAAGTCCTGCCCCACCTGCTCCTGTGGATAGGGTCCCATAGCAAACAACACTTATTGTCAAGCAACCAGGGGCCATTCCTGTTATTCCTGAGCAGGGGGCCTCAGTTCCTTGGTAACGGGTGGGATTCCTCAGACACATCAATCACATCCTCCCTTGGGAACCAGGGATCACTCTGCCCTCTTGGTGCTACAAAGCCTGCCTCCCACAGGCCCTGGTGGTTCCCGCTGTTCCTGCACGTAGCCCAACGTGTCCTGCATCAGCTGCTGCCTCAGGCAGAGCACAACCTGAACACCTGAGGCTGGCAGCTCCGCTAGAAGGTTCTATGTGTTGGACTCTGGTCTGTGCTAAGATCTGTTAACCTGTCACCCCCGGACCCCCTCCCCGGGGAGGTAGATTCCATAATCATTTCCATTTTACAGAGGAGGACTCTGCAAATGGTGGGGGAGGGGTTGGGACTCAGGTCTGTCCAGATCCTTCCCTTTTTGTCCTAGGATCCACTCTGGTAGCTCGGAGGTGAGAAACCTGCAGCTTCCGGTTCAGTGAAGTGAGTCAGGAGTTTTGAGTGAAGGTGTGAAGATGGGAGCCTGGAGGGGAGGGGACAGAGCCCATCTTGTCGACGGGGCCAGGCCTCTGCAGGGCTGAGGTGGGGGGAAGAGAAGTGAGCAGGGAAAGCAGCCTTCAGCCTCAATGCTGCCCCTCAGCCCAGCTGCCCCAGCATCAGCCATGCTATAGGCCCTCAAGGTTCTCCAGATTGCTTCCTCCCTCCACTGGAGAGGAGGCAAGTCCTTTCGTGGGGATCTTCAGCCAAAGGGGCTCCTCGCAAGCAGAATTGCTAGAACCAGGTACTCTCTGTAATGGCCACCTCTTGCTGCTTGCCCTTGGCTGCTGCCGATTTCCTAGAGTAATCAAAAGACAGAGCGGTGGTGTGTGGTGAGACAGCTGAAGAGCTCGGAGGGCGGAACTGGGGGTCAAGTCTTATGAGCACATAAACTCCATGAGATTAGGCTTTGATTTTCCACTATGTCTCCCAAAGCATAAGACAGTGCCCGAAACATAGTAGGTGCTCAAAAAAGTGAAAGAGTAAGTTAAGTCCCACCTTCCCTGCTTCTTAGCTGAGTGTCCTTAGGCAAGTTACATGACCTCTCTGTGTCTTCATTTCTTTGGCAGTGAAATTGAACATAACAGCTCTTTGTGGGGTTGTTTGAATTAAATAAGATGCTCTATTGAAGCAGGAAGGGCCCTCTGAGCACCAGCTGTTAGTATTACTCTCTTTTTAAAGATTTTATTTATTTATTTGGGAGAGAGAGAGAGGAGCGGGGGGAGAGGGACAAGCAGACTCCCCTGCTGAGCGTGGAGCCCGACGCAGGGCTCAATCCCAGGACCCTGAGATCATGACTGGAGCCGAAGTCAAGAGTGGGATGCGCAACCAACTGAGCCACCCAGGCACCCCCATCCATTAGCATGGATGGTTCCTGCTCAGCCTGTTGACGCCCCATGACTACCCTTACCCAGGACACAGCAGCCACACTCCTGGGGCCCGTGCTGTGGGCCAGGCATTATCCTCAGTGCTTTAATATAATAACTTCAACTCGAAAACAGCTCTTTGAGCTCGGCTGGGTTTGGTTTGGTTTGGTTTTAACCCCCATTTTATAAATGAGAAAGCAGAAGCATCGTGGTGATTCGGGCCATAAAATAAACTTGAGGAATGTTGCCTCATTTCTGTTCTCTCAAAGGATGGAATGAGGGTAGCATGATGTGCTCCAGAAACTGAGCTGTTGATCTGTCTGGGCCTGGGATTCCTGGGGGAAGATTGAACTAGGGCGGTCAGGGCTGGCTCCAACCTCTTGGGCGAGTTTCGTAAGAGAGGTCAGTGCGTGCCCGGGGCATAGGGATTCAGTCCTAGGCAGTCTGGCTGCAGAGCCGGGCTCAGAGCCTCTGCATGTCCCTGCCTAAGGGACGATGGCCTTCTACCTGGGAGACCTTGAATCAGCCCTTCATCTCTCTGAGCCTCTGGTAAACAGCGATGGAAATAGTCTCTTCCGGGCTGTGTTGTTGCAATGATTACGTGGTCTCAGACGCAAAGCCTGATGCTCACCGGCTTGCTGCCCTGAGGCACCGGGGATGAGGTCAGCTCTCGGCACACTCAAGCTGCTGGTACCATGTCAATGACGAGCCCAGCCCAGCTCTGGCCTCTTCGTCTAGCATGTCTCCCTGACCCTTGGGCTCTCCGTCCCGTCCCGGGGCTGAGGGAGGCCTGCCCCTGCAGCCCTGCCCAGCTACTCCTGGAAGCCCAGCCCTACTCCCAGGGTGACCAAGGATCACTCACTGGCTCTCCAGGTCCTGGATGGTGTCAGGAAGTGGAAGCCCCTTGGTCTCCGGGAGAAAGAGCAGGAGGATGAGGCTGGAAGCGATGGGGATGACACCGTAGGAGACGGGGGCCAGCAGGGGCACGGCCGGGCGAGTCATCCTGATTAGGGGCCCCGTCACAGCCCCCAGACGACCTGCCGACTGCAGGAAGCCATCTGCTGTCATCCTGGGGGTGGAGGGGAGGGCCCAGACCCTGGTCATCAATGCCACTTTCAAGAAGGGGGCCTTACTGGGGGAGGGGGAGGCATTTGGCTGGGTCAGGATGTGCCAGGGGAGGGAAAGATGGGTGAAGGAGCTGCAATCCTCAAAGTCTTTCCTAACACTACCTCCTCCACGGAGCCCACCTAGATTTTCCCACCCAGAGGGGCCCTCTCCTTCCTGAGAACATCCAATCCAGAGTCCTTCATGGACTGTCTAGGACCCACCCATTCTCCCTGGTCGGCTGTGTTGTTCCGGGATACCCAGCCCCTCCTTGCCCTCCCCACTGGCCTTCCCAGGGACGTCCCTTTCTCACATGCCCTGGGTCTGGCCACCCCTCCTGGGTGCAGCGCGCAGCCCAGCCTACCGCAGCGCAGTTGGGTAGAGTTCGGGCTTGTAGACAGAGATAGAGGTTAAGCTTATGCCAAAGCATCCTTTTCCCAGCACGGCGAAGACCAAGCGCAGGGTCTGCAAATCTGGGCAGAGGAAGAGGGTGACAGTGGGCTCTGCCCGAGGGGTCCCCAGTGAGCCCAGAGCGCAGGGCTTCCTTGACTGCGCCCAGGTGCCCCCCAGTGCTGACTTGGTGCCAGGCCGCCCAGGGCTGCAGGTGCAGCCTGACATCACAGTTGGTGGGCTGGGCGGAGGGGTGGGGGGGGCAGCGCCAGAACCCAGCCAGGTCCGGGGCGGGCAACCCGGGGCAGCTGAGGATGGCTCTCGGGGCCTGCTCCTTACAGTGTCACCGTGCCAAAGCTCTCTGGGACCTGCGTGTGCTTCCTCCATGAAGGAGAGGGTCATGGCAGGTCCTCGCTGCCTTCCGTCTGTCTGTGGGAACGCTGGCTTAAGAAGCCACACTCGGCCTCAGCTTTCCCTCCCACACGTTGTAATGAAGAGTCTCAAAAACTGTCACACACTGGTCTTTGCAAGTTTTCCCCGAGCACTGCCTCTTGCAGCTTGTTTGGGAGACCACCCCTCTGCCTCCCTCCTGGCTTTGCTATCAGCTCAGAACTCGGGGTCCCCGCCCCTCCACCAGCCCCCCTTGCCTTGAGCCATAAAAGGAGACTTGAGAGGGTTTTCGGGGCATTAAAGTCTCATTCAGAAAGCAAAGAGTAAGACGGGAGCCCTGGCCAGCAATCTGCACACCCCAGTGCCCCAGGCTTGGTGTTCGCGCCTCACTTCAAGCAACTGGAGTGTCTCACAGCTTCCCCAGCCCCTCCTCCCACCTCAGGACCAGCCTCAGGCTTGAAGTCTGGTCCCAGCCCTGGCCCTGTCAATGGCTAGCTGAGTGACCTGCGGCACCCGACTCCACCTCTCTGAACCTCAGTCGCCTCAGGGGGATGGGTGGGGGGGCGGGCGGGGGGTGCAGGCAGGGAAGCCAGTGCCCCAGACTGTCAGCAGCTCAGCCCACTCAGTCCACCCCGCCTCACCTTGTGGGACCAGTATGTTGGCCAGGATGGAGAGGCCAGCCATGATCTGGAAGCTGGCCAGGGTCGTGCGGTGGCCCAAGAAGCTGAACAAGAAAGTGGTGGTGGCCCGGCCCAGTAAGTCCACAGCTCCGAAGAGGACCTGGAGGAGGAAGATGTCACTCCCCAGGTTTTGCAGGTCGAGGACCAGCCCGTAGTAGGAGATCATTTGTGAGAAGCTGCAGGGCAAAGCCAGAAATCGGATCCCTGACCCAGAGGAGAGGGCACCCACCTGAGCTGTCCCCAGAGGGCCCAGGCCATCCTGAGCGGGTCCCTACGGACCCCAAAAAACCTGTCTGTCGGATGCCTGACACATCTCTCAAGAGTGGCGCTGGCCCAGGAGAGAAAGGCCAGGCTTCATTCATTCCGCCTTAGGCAGTCACCTCCCAGGCTCCCTGGCCACCAGCCAGTGGGGACACTTAAGTTTTAAGTCCCTGGGCTGACGGGCTGTGTGGGTCAAGCTGAGCTTCAGGCCTGGCCCGAGCACTCTCTCGCTTTGTTTCCAGTCACTGCTAGAACCATGACTCTACTAGCCCTGAACCTGGGCGAGTCTCCGCCCTTTCCTGGGTGCCAGTTTCTTCATCTTGAAAGATGGGATTCAGAGTAGAAGGAGGTGGGCTGTGTTGTCCTTCTTTCAGGAGGGCAAGTCTTATTTTCCCAGCCTCTGGGAGTGCTGCCTCTCAGTTGGGGAGGACATCCCATGACACAGGCCAGAGGGACGGTTCAGAAGGGCCACCCCAGCTCCTTGGGCCCTCCGTGGGCTTGCAGGGGGCCTTGTTGGGGCAGTACCACCGGGACTGCTCCCCTGCCCCATCTGATTGTTCCCCTCCCCTCCCCTCCCCTCCCCTAGCCTCCCCATCCCCGTCCCCAGGCAGGGATCCCAAGAGCCCTCTCCAATGAACTTCCTGCTTACTGACCTCCACCCCAAGTCTGGAGGGGTAGGGGGTGGACACGGGACAGACCGCCCTGCCACAGACCGCCCAGGCTCCTGAGTAGGCGAAGCTGAACTTAACAGTAGCTGGATTTCCGCAGTTTGGAGATTGAATTTGGAGCCAGCAGTGACTGCGGTGTGAAATTACTCCCTACCACTTTTCAAATCGGTCCCCATCCCTGCCTCACGGACACTCCCCTTGGGCCGCACCTGAGCACTGCACCCGGCAAGGCAGCTGACACCAGGGGACACCAGCTGCTGGCTAAAGCTGCAGGCCCCCGGGGTCCCCGAAGTTTGTGGAAGCCCCGTGGGGGGAGGGGCTCAGCTCTGGCTCCAAGTAGCTGACGCGGAGGCTCTAGGGCCGGTACCGAAGGGGTTAACGGCGGAAGCCGAGAAACCCGCCAGGTTAGCCGCGGCCCAGCCTGTGATTTGAATAACAAAGGATGCGGAGTGGCCCCAGGGAGCACTGAGGAAGCCTTGAAGGTTTTGAAAGAATGGCCCCGGACATTCCTGGCACCAGGCACTCCTTCTCACTTGGGGGGGGGGGGGGGGGATAAAAGCATTTGATCCATTCCCTAAGGTGTAGCAAATATTTGCCACTGGAACCCATATGTGGTTAAATAGAGCATAAAATAAACGTTTTTCTAATCTTTAGTTTTATTTCAAGGTAAGTCTCCATCAAACCTGACCCTCACTTCTCAGTGTGCTCTCTGCAAGTCACTTGAACTGAATTTGTTTTATTAAGGGGCCTTCTCCTGGTCCCAGGTGGCCGTGGGTGCCAAGACGGGGCCTGCTGGGGAGTCCATGCTCAATGAGGGGCCTGCTGGGTGGCAGTGGGCAAGGAGGTAGCTCAGGCAGGGTTCAAATGCCTGTTCAGTCATCTTGGGCAAGTTACCTGCCCCACTGGGCCCTGCTGTCCCCTCTGTAAAGTGGGGGTGTAGATGAACTTGGCGTAAGTGGGCCAGTGGCCCTCTCCAGCCACTTCTGGTCCCCCATCTCTAGAGACATAGGCTCCGTGTCCAGCCTGGGCTTCAGCGTGCCCCTGTCCCTGCCCTCCAGCTGGCTTCCCGCTTGAACCCCCAGCCCCTCCCCAGTGCTGGCCGAGACTCCTGCCTCCTGGGGGAACTGCCTGTCCGGCCAGAAACGTGCTTCCTGAGGCCGTGCAGGAGCCACTCCTCACTCCCACCCCGGACACAGTAGAGGCCGCTTTTAGGCAACAGGCTTGGGCACTGGAAGCCCCAGTAAGGCAGAAGGGCCCACAGCGACCATCCTGCAAACAGGCCCACCAGGGACCCACCTCAAAACAGCCGTAAGCCCTCACTGACCAATCGGACCCAAAAAGGAACATTCCACATGTTCCCCTACCTCCTCCCCCTCCCCTATAACTACAGCCCCCTCCCACTGCCTCCTGGCAGACAGTCTCTCTGCTCCCTTGCCATGAATTCAATAAACTTCTATGTCTTTTGTTCGGCCTTGGGTGAATTCTCCCATCGCCCTGGGCCCTGGGCACTGGCCCTGGGCACTGGTCGCCGGCATCCACTGATCCCATCCCGTGGGGCTGGCCCACTTCCCTCCTCAGGCCTGGCTCTGGGAGGGATGAGCTGGGTGGCATACCTCACCAGGAACATGCTGCAGCTTCTCCAGCGGAGCACGGGCATGAGAAACAGGTCCAGCACCGACCTGCGGGCCTTCTTAGAGGCCCCCTCCTCCTCCTCCTGCATGCTGGTCATGAGCACCTGCGGGGAGAGGCGGACACAGTGAGTGGGGGGTGGGGGGTGGCACGGGCCCCGCCCCGCCCCCGTGCCAGGGAATGGTGTCCAGGTGGGCAGAGTGATACGAGGAGCCCGGCCTTGGCTTCTGGAAACTGGAGAGCCTTGGGGTGGGGGCGGGGATGGAGACAGAAAGAAAGATCTCTCTCTGGCCCCCTGACAGAGCTCTCTTCTGCCGACCTGGCCCCCCTACTCTGAGCCAGGGAGCCAGGCTTGTGTCCCAGCTCTCGGCAGTTCCTACACAAACCCGACCACCCCTCCTTGCCCCTCATGGCTGGCCTCAGGGTACGCCTCCTACCCCAGCCACACGGGCTCCCCACTGCACCCAAGTGCCATCCAGACTCTTCCTGCCCCTCCAGGCCCCGCCTGCCCCATGCTCAGCTCAGTCTTGGTCGGCTCGCCTCCTCCTGGAAGCCTTCCCTGATCCTCCCACCCCCAAGCTGTGTTTTGTTTCTTGCTGCACATCCTCCCACACCTACTTCCTTGAAATAATCACCTTCAGAGAAGCACATGCAGTTTCCCCCAAACACACCGAGAAGCCCTATGAGGTGAGCTTGCAATGCATGTGGGTGGAAGCCTCCCACAAGCAAGCTGGGGGTTGTCACAGCTGTTATCGGGTGGGTAGCGGTGAAGCTGGTGACAAGACATCAGTGGCTGTCCTCTCCCTGCCACGTCCCACACTCTGGGTCACAAACAGGGGCATCTCACCTCGATGGTCAGTGACTTTGTGGCTTCCTTGTGGCCGTTTATCCTGGCCACCTTTTTGAGCTCCTGGAGCGCTTGTTCCGGTTTGCCCACAATAATCAGCCATCGGGCAGACTCCGGCAGCCACCTGTTAAGGACGCAGGCGCTTGCCCAGGCCCCTACGCTCTTCCCGCGTCCAGGGCCCTCCTCGTCAGGTCAGGAGGGGGACGTGGGCAGCCGCTCCCCCAGCAGCAGGGGGAGACAGACGGCAACTGCTCTCCCCTCTGCATGGCTGGGGCCAGGATGCGAGACTGGCAGCCTCCCTCGGTACTGAGTAAAGCTGAGTCCCAATGCCTGGCCGCCCTCTTTCCCCCACACCATCCCATCTGGCTTCCCGGCTGCGGGGGGCTCGCGCATGGCCCGTGCACAGCTGCCTGAGCCTATGGTGAAGCTGAGCCCATTTCTGTGACAGCTCACATCACGCTGAATTTCACACACACACGCACGCACACGCTAAACACATCCCCAGCCAGAACTGAGTGGTTTTATAAAAGTAGCCTGCTTCTTCCCAGCCTCGGGGCAGATAGCAGGGAGAGGCATCTCCTGGGTGAGAGGACTGGCATTTTCCCAGCCCAGAGGGGCTCAGCTCTGTTTGCGTCCGTCTGGAGGCCGCCTGCCCTAGTGGTTCAAAGAGCCAGCCTGCCTGGGTTCAAATCCTGCCTCTGGCACTTACCGGCTGCGTGGCCTGCACGAGTCACTGAACCTCTCTGGGCCTCAGTCCCTCCTCTGAAAATGGTGGTCATCCTATCATCTTCCTCGTTAGAAGAAGTGAATACACATCTGGGATGACCAACAGCACCTGAGACTCACCCAACCAGGGTGACCAGAGCAGCCTAATAAGTGTGATTATGGGATGTCTTCCTCCTCGCTTACTGATCCCGTTGTTATCGATAAAACTCCACGTGGTCAGTGGCTTTTGATCTGTTTTCTTTGCTGATGTGCCCCCGGGACCTGAAACGACGTCTGGCATGGGGCAGTAAATACTTGAGAAGGAATGAATGAGTCCTTGCTACTCTCTATACCCCACAGTAGACTTAACGGGGCGCAGGTCCACCCAACCCTGGTTCATGGACACGAAAGAACTTACAGGGTCATGAATTTGGGTCTGGTCCCCTGTCCCTCACCCAACCACGTGTTTCCAGACCTCAGGGAGTGTTGCAGCACCCCAAATAATCGTGATGATGGTATCTTTTCATATCCAACGCCAGTCCGCACTGACTCAGGAGCCCATGGGTGGGGGGTGGGCAAGTGATGTGAAGGAAGGGGCTAGCAGGTGGGGGGCAGCTCGTGCCGAGGAGGGGAAGGCCCGAGAGCCAGCGGGACGGGTGGGAGCCTCAGACGTCTGGCTAAAACGCCCACCCCGGAACTCTGAAGCCCCAAGATGTCTCTCCTGAGCAGGGGCCCCACACACATCATTGCCCTACGTGGCTCTCAGCGTCTCGGGATCCACGGCCGGCCAGGGTGGTGAGGGTGAGGGGCACCCTGGCCCCCCAAATCTCCCTCCTAACAAGTGACGTCCTCCCCAAGAGCAAAGGCCGCACACTGTACCCACCAGGAGATCAGGAAGATGGCAAAGAAGGGCATCGACACGGCCAGCTGGAGAGCCCGCCAGTCCCGCAGGGTGAAGGCCAGGGCCCCCAGGGTCATCTGGCCCAGGCTATAGGAGCATCCCAGCATTGTTATGGTGACGGCCCTCCTGCGGGTTGTGGTCCACTCCACCACTGAAAGGTGATGCAGACAGGCAGGTAAGGGCTGAGCGGTGGCCTCGGGGCCCCATCCCCCCCACCCCCGCCCCCAACCGCCACCATGGCAGGCGCAGCTGAGGGAGGGACTCACTGAGCGTCACCGGGGTCATGATGATGCCGGCCACTCCAAAAGCGCTCAGGAACCGGAGGCCACAGTAGATGAGGAAATTGGAAGCAAAGACGGTGCTGGTGTTGGCCAAAGCCACCTGCAGGGAGCACCAGCTCAGCGCCGGCTTCCGCCCGAACCTGTGGGGGACGAGCACTGTGGGGCCTGGAGAGGGGCCCTGGGGACTTGGGCCTGGAGGCAGAGGCTTCAGGGGAAAGGAGGGTTCGAGGGGATGGGGCACCTGCTGGGGCACCTCAGGGCAGGCAGCACCGTACCCCACCCCCTGGGATCTCCCAGGAGCATGCTCCAAGTGTGCCTCTTATAAAAAGGGCAGACGCCTCGATCTCAGGGCCAGCGGCATCGCAGGGTCAAGAATGGGCTTTGGTTGGGGCGCCTGGGTGGCTCAGTTGGTTAAGCGTCTGCCTTCAGCTCAGGTCATGATCCCGGGGTCCTGGGACTGAGCCCCGCATCGGGCTCCCTGCTCAGCGGGGAGCTTGCTTCTCCCTCTCCCTCTGCCTCTCTCCCCGTCTTGTGCTCTCTCTCTCTCACTCGTTCTCTCTCAAATAAATAAAATCTTAAAAGAAAAAGAATGGGCTATGGTTGAATCACTGTATTGTACACCTGAAATTCATATTACAATGCATGTTAACTAACTGCAATTTAAATAAAAACTGAACAAAGATGGGCTTTGGCATCAGAAGCCTGGGTCTGAGCCCAGCTCTGTCCTGCCTGGGTGACCCTGGGCAGGACTCAAAGTCTCTGAGCCACCATTCCCCGTCTGTGCAATGGGGGTGTGCACGATGACAGCCTCAGAGTTGTGAAAACCATGATGCAGAGCAAGGGGGCGGCACGGCCGGGAGGCTGAGCGCACGTGGCCTTGGGCAAACCGGCCAGCTCCCTGCCGGTCTGCCCACTGGGACTGGAGCTCCCGGGAGACAACCGGTGTCGGGCCCTCAGTGGTCCACCTGCACACCCACCGTGCCACTACGGCCCCGAGGCTGGCTTAGCCCAAACCATGGCCCGCATTTAGCTAAAGCGTGCATTGGTCCAATAGGAGAGATGTGGGCAACGCTTGGCCCGCCTGTCTGAGCAGTGCCCAGGAACAAGGACATTTGGCCCAGACCCAGGGCGAGGTCTGGACGCTGACACCAGACCCTGATGCCAGGCTCCCCGGGTAAGCTGCGGACCGACGGCGATTTGGCTCCCGGTGTGGACGGCCCCTGGGGAGTGAGCCAGAGCCGCATGGCAGCTGTCCTTGGAAAGTGCCACCTGGACCACGTCCTTCCCCGCTGCTCGGGGCCCCCCACCACGCTCAGGATTAAATAAGGCCCACAAATGACGAAGGTAGCAGAACCACAGCACGAGGAGCCCGCCCCATGTCAGGCCCTGGCCCGAGCTCTGTCTGTGGTTAACCCACAACAACCCCATGGATAGAGCCAGGTCCCCACGTACAGGAAGAAATGGAGGCACAGAGAAGCAACATACCCGCCTTCTAGGAGACGAGGGCAAGGGAGGTGGGGATGGGAACCCAGGGTCAGACCCCTGAGCCCTCACGGTCAGGAGAAAGTCGGGAAGCCGTTCGTGCATTCACTAAATAATGACTGAGTGCGTGCTGCGTGCTGGAGGCTGGGGACGCCATGCCCCTGCCTTCTTGGAGCTATGTCTCGTGGGGACGCACGCAGCAGGTGAGCAAGGAGTGAGCGACCGAGCACTGTCAGAGTAGGTGCAGTGAGGAAGGAAAGAAGGCGTGGCCAGGGCGAGGCCGCCTGGGGTGGAGGCCTGCGTGCTGGGCACAAAGAGACCACAGGGAGAACCTTCGGAGCGAGGCTCGGCCACCGGCCACCTCGGAGCTCTGCAGCCGGGATGCCGAGGGTGCTCCAGGAGGGGCCGGCATGGCTGTGGGAGAGAAGCCAAGTGCCAAGCAGGGGTGGAGGGGGACGGGGTGGGGGGCAGGAACTGTCCTCAGTGTGCTGGGCCTGGAGGACTTCAGGCTGGCATCCACCAGATCCATGTAGAGGTTTTTGAAGTCACGCGGAATGGAGGCAAGAGACCCTCGAGGGGGCAGGGCCTGCCCGGGCAAGAGAGGCAGGTGGCTTGGGCAAGGGGACGGAATGGAGGAGAGGGGCGTGGGGCTGGATCTAGGGGTGAGGGTGTGTGCCATGGGCCGGGGGCCGTTTTCCCGGATGGAGTCTGGCGCGGAGGGGCTGGGCTGGCGCGGGAGGGTCAGGAGTCCAGCGCTGGCCGCGGCACATGAGAGGCAAATGCTCCTCCACGTGCGAGCTCCAAGCAGGCAGCTGGCTCTACCAGGCGAGTGGGCGTAACGCAGGCGTCCCTGGCGCCCGGTGGTAGGGCCTCGAGCAGCGGGGGTGGGCAGCCGGCCACGAGAAGGGACAGGGCTGGGGGCGGGGCACCGCCTCACAAGGAGGAGCAGGAGACGGAGGGGAGGGGCCAGAGGAGGGGGAGGAGGATTTCGACTTCACAGTGTGCCCTGTACTTGCCGGAGTTAGAAGAAAGAGGGGTGGGGGGCGCCTGGGAGGCTCTGTCGGTTAAGCGGTTAAAGCAGTTAAGCGTCTGCCTTCGGCTCAGGTCAGGATCCCGGGGTCCTGGGATCGAGCCCCACATCGGGGCTCCCTGCTCGGTGGGGAGCCTGCTTCTTCCTCTGCCTCTGCCCCACCCCCCCATGCTCATTCGCATGCTCTCTCTCTCTGAAATAAATAAACAAACAAATAAATAAAATCTTTTTTAAAAAATGAAGAAGACAGGGCGCCTGGGTGGCTCAGTTGGTTAAGCGACTGCCTTCGGCTCAGGTCATGATCCTGGAGTCCCAGGATCGAGTCCCGCATCGGGCTCCCTGCTCAGTGGGGAGCCTGCTTCTCCCTCTGACCCTCCTCCCTCTCATGCTCTCTGTCTCTCATTCTCTCTCTCTCAAATAAATAAATAAAATCTTTAAAAAAAAAAAATGAAGAAGATGACGATGACGACGACGAAGAAAGAGCAGTCTATTTCTCCGCAGAAGACTATGGGCTCCCTGAGGGCAGGGGCTCTACAGCGCCTCGCACACAGGTGCTCTGGACGGTTGGTGTCACCAAAGGAGAGAGCGCTGTGTTTGAGGGGATCTCGCACAGAGTGGCTTAAGCTGGTGTGGGCTCCCTGGGGACATTCATGGGCCGTTTCTGTACTTCTGTCCCCATGGCGCTCGTTCTGTCGAGGAGGAGTCCAGGGGGAGAGGAGATACTCACCGGTCAGAGAGGAGGCCCCAGGAGATGGACCCCAGCAGGACGCCGGCCATGTAGATGGACTGGCCCAGGGGTTTCAGGCTCTGGTAGTCACACACTAGGTCCCACTGGAAGAGAGGGTGGGCACGGCAGCTGGGCTCAGGGGATGCACACCCTGGTCAGCCTGGGTCCTGGGGGCTCCCTCAGGCCAGGCGACAGAGGTGGAAGGGGTGTGCTGGGCTGGGGCGGGGGGCGGGTTCAGCTCTGTCCTCCCAGCTAGCTGCGTGGCACACACGGGACTTGGCCACTCCGAGTGGACGGACGTGGGCAGCGGAGCGCGGGGACTGAACCACAGGCTGGCGTTCTAACTCTGTGGATCGCTCGCTGGGTGAGCCCAGGGGTGGTTCCTGTATGTGCTGAGCCAGGTTTCTCACCCAGAAGGGGGGCCCTGCAGCTGTTTCCCTCACAGGGCTGCCGGGATGAGCAGAGAGTGCTGAGCACGTGCCACCATAATTTTTGAGTGCCTCCTGCCCGGGTCTGGGCATCCATGACCTGAACACCCCCCACCAGGCAGCCCTCCACCAAGACCTGACACCTCCGTTCCATTTCCGCCTCTCTCGCCAGGCCCACGGAAGCAGGAGCCCCCTGTCCCCACAAGGCAAAATGATAACTGGAAAATGCAAAGCAGATCACCTCACTTCCTTGCCCCAAAGCCTCCAGTGACTTTCTTTTGCACTTGAAGAAAGTGCACCTCACCCACCTTCTTTGCATTGTGCCGGCCCCTGGCCCCTTGTGCCCAGACACACTAGGCCTCCTTCTGCTCCTTCAACACCCCAGACCTGGACTTCTGGTCCCACTGGGCTCTCTCCGCACCTTCACGTGACCTTGTCTCCTAATCCAGGTCTCACCTCCAGAGAGGCCTTCCCCACCTGCCTCTCCTCCTTGCTCACGGGACCTGCTTTTCTTCTTCATAGAGGCAGGACAGGATGTGATGGAGACCCATCTTCCGGCTCCGGGCGGTCTGGGCTGAGCCGGGCGCTGGAGTGTTGGAGCCGTGGGTCCTGGGCAACTTATTTCCCTCACTGTGCTTCTGTTTTGTTCCTTACCAGATGCAGACAACAACAAGACCCCCCTCGTGAGATTGGAGTGACACTATGGGGAAAGCCTCTGGAACGGTGCCTGCCACTCTCCTGTTGGGGCGGGGTTAAATGTTGACCCATTCTGAAGCTGCCGGTGGAACAGGAGCTCCTCAAAGGCTCCCTTGCTTATCCTGGGACCCCGGCCTCAGATCAGGGTCTGGGCCTTCATAAGCAGTGAGTAAATATGTGTTGAGGGAGTAGCATCTCATTCAGTAGCGCCTGCGGAAGCGGTGCGATCCTTCCAGGCATGGGCGGGTGGCCATCACTGGGAGGCCAGGTAAGAGAGCCGGGGGTTGGCGGGGGGAGGCCCTTACCTTGGAGACGATGGTGGAGGTGAAGGTGCTGCGGTCGTAGACCCAGCCGTCCATGCACGGCTCTGTGGCAGCCTCGCTCCAGTTGGTGGCCGTGGCGTTGGGGTCCAGGAGCTGCCACTGTGGTTGGCGGAAGCGGCGACACTGATGGGGCTCATGGTTGGGGCCCGGGGGGATGGAGACGGTCAGGAGGTCCTTGGGGCCCAGGGCCCCGGGGACACTGGCCTGGGCAGTGCTGTTGTCCAGGAGGGGTACCCAGCATCGGTGGCTGGGCACGGCGGCCGAGAAGTTCTCCATCAGCAGTTGGGAGGGCACCAACATGGAGGGAAGGAGGAGAGTGAAGACCTGCAGGGCCTGGAAGAGGCCCACTCCCCCTGCTCGCTCCAGGAGCTCGGTGAATGCCATGGGCAGAGCCGTGGGCGGCCAGGGTGGCCTTCCCAAAGGTCAGGGAGCCCGCGAGTGTCTGGCTGCTGAACCACTAGCAAGTGCCGGAACCCTGGGCCATCGGACCTTCTGCCCTCGCTAGCCTGCAGTTGGGTTGGGAGTGCGGGCTAGCAACTGGTCGAGTCAGTCCTGAGATGCCCCAGGTGCTTTGAAGAAACTCCTCCTTACCCTGTTTCTGGGAGTGACGCGTGGGTGCCCCACCCCTCTGGAGAGGGGATATCAGGGACAAAGCTCACTGTGCCCAGGCTGCCTGGGGCATCCGAGGCGCCCTGGTTCTCCAGCACCAAGAGTAAAAATCAAGCAGGTGTGAAAAACAAATAAGATGCACTAAGCTGTGATGTTACTGAGCTCCAGTTGTGGAGGGAAGTGGCACCCGGCCGTGGCCTTGGTTAAAGTTCAATCTCAGCGTGGGCTCCTGGGCAGGAAAGTCAGGTCTAGCTACTGAGGGAGGCTTGGGCAGCTCTCTGCAGGGGGCCTGCTCACATTCCTAAACCGAACTTTCAGATCCCTCTACACGTGGCCCTTTAAATCAGGAAACTGTTGGCCTGAGCTTCAGCCGTATTGGCCTGAGATTCAGGCCATTTTGCTACAGCACAGTGGTGGGGACTGGGTGGGGGACTGGGCAGGGCCCCCCCTAGCTGGCCCCGAGGCTGCAGGGAAGCGGGTGGGCTCCCAGCGTGGAGGGAGCTGGCCGGAGGGCCCAGGGCTGTGCTCATTCCCTCCTTACTGCGCGCCTCCCGCCGGGCAGCATGGGAGACCAGCTTGCAGACTCGCTATTTTGGGAAGCTTCTATTTCCAGGTTCCAGGTTGCCTTTATTGGACTGGAAGCTCCTCCAGGGTGGAAAGCATGGCTGTGATCCCCTCACATCCATTCGATGCCCCTCGTGGGCCTGGAGTCGAGCAGGCATGCAGACTGGGAAAGTGAGTGAAGTCATACCTCCCTGACCCAGGGTCTAACTCCAGCCCAGCTTGGCGTGAGGAGGTGCGAAGGCAGCCCCCTCCCCAGCACTCCGCCTCGGCTGAACCTCTTAGGAGCAGCTGTTGCTGCGGGCTTGCGGTGTGTTGGGCTCTGTGCTGACCGTGCGGTCCGTACCCTCTCCTTTGCTCCTCATAGCAGCCCTTGTGCAAGAGAGTTGGTGCTAATTCCTCCAGACAAGGAAACCGAGGCTCAGAGAGGGCAGGCAGCTTGCCCCAGGTCACACAGCAGAGTGTGGATTAGAACCAGACACGGAAGCCCGAGCTCTCTCCAGGGCCTCTGGCCAGCTGCCATGTGGTCTCTGGCCTGTCATGTGCCAAATCCCAGCGAAAGGCTAGATTTCGGGATTGGGGTCAGACTTAGGGCCAGCCAGGGAGCCGGAAGTCATTTCTCCCAGGCTAGGAGAGGAATGGGCTGAGTCAGTTCCGGACAGAAGTCTGACGAGTGCTAGAAGTATGGATGAGGTGTGGGTAGGCATCTGGACCCTGAACTTCCCAGAGCGCTTGGAGAATCCGGCCACTGTGGCACCCAGCTGGGGTGCCGAGGACCGGGGGTTCTGGGCCTGGATTTCAAAGCCAGGGCTGTTGCCATACTCGGCCTCTCTGGGCAAGAACTCATTATGAATTTTATTTTATTTTTTAAGATTTTATTTATTTATTTATTTATTTATTTATTTATTTATTTATTTATTTATTTATGAGAGAGAAGCAGACTCCCTACTGAGTGGGGAGCCCCATATGGGACTCGATCCCAGGACCCGGACATCATGATGCTTAACCCACTTAGCCACCAGAGCGCCCCTCCTTATGAATTTTAAAACAGTGCGTAGAGAGAAGTGGAGGGAGAACCAACCCAAATCAGTGCAGGAGGCCATGAGCGAGGGGCTGACTGGGCAGAGCCCTAGTCCAGAAGCCCGAAGGCTGAATCTCACATGGAAGAACTGGGCTTTCTGCCATGTGTGTGCAAATAGCATCCTCACAGGGGAAGGCCTGGCCTCCGGGGGCAGGGACTTTGAGGCCTCCCATTTCCGGCCCCTGATTTCTGGCCCAAGCGAGGCCGTGCTGCCATGTTGGTAGCAACCTGGTTCAAACCTGAGCTTGGGTCAGAAACCCCAGGAGTGCTGGCAGGTCCTGCCACAAGGGAAGGCCCCAGAATTTGCATTTAAAAATAAGCCCCCAGGTGATTCTGGGGCGCTGGGACCCAGCCTCACTTAGAAAATTGTGGGGCTCAAGGGAGCTGCTGAAATCCATGGCACCTGGGGGCGAATTCTTGTCTCTATTTCCTTTTTCCATATGCATAACAAATGTTCTCTTCTCCCCTGCCTTTGCTTGTCATGGACGCCCCTAGGCTTTGCTTACAGCAGAAGGTCAAACCTCCCAGATTTGCCAGAAGGCTCCCGGAATTTCCAACTGACTGTCTGCTCCCAGGCCAAGGAATTTTTAATTTGGGTTTTCTGTTTTTCTGGGGTTGCTTGGTGCAGGGCTTGGTGCAGCTGCGCCGCCACCTGCTGGTCATACTCAGGACTACAGTATTCCCAGCCCCTTGCGCATCCCCGGCGCCCCCCGTGGCCCAAAGGTTCACAGGTGGAGGGGGCCAGGGGTGCAGGGGAGGGATGCAGGCAGCCTCAGATTATAGCTGCCAAGCCTCCAAAGTATTTCATTAAATGAATTAGTCTGACTTCTGCATTTATTTTCTTATGAGTGAGGTTGAGCAACTTTTAATGTATTTAAGGTGTATTTGCATTTCTTTTTTTCAGAGATTTTATTTGACAGAGAGAGACACAGCGAGAGAGGGAACACAAGCAGGGGGAGTGGGAGAGGGAGAAGCAGGCTTCCCGCTGAGCAGGGAGCCCGATGCGGGGCTCGATCCCAGGACCCTGGGATCATGACCTGAGCCGAAGGCAGACGCTTAACGACTGAGCCACCCAGGCGCCCCTGCATTTCTTTTTCTGTGAACTGCTTCTTCACATCCTTTGTCAATTTTTTGATTGCAGTTTGTGGTTTCTGTACCAATTTCTATAAGCCTTTAGATAGTAGGAAGATTGGCTCTTGGCCTGTGGTGAAAGTTGCCAGTATTTTTTCCAGTCTGTCTTTTGACTTTGTTATTGTGCTATCGTTATTGATTTTTTTTTTTGTAAAATTTTTTTTTTGTCATCAAATTTTCAGTCTTTTCTTATTTGACTTTTGGATTTTGCATCATTATTAAAATGACCTCTCTATTCTGTGGTGATAAAGGAATTCTTCCATAGTTTTCTTTAAAAAAGATTTTATTTATGGGGCACCGGGTGGTGCAGTCAGTTAAGCATCTGACTCTGGGTTTTGGTTTGGGTCATGATCTTAGGGTCATGAGATCGAGCCCCATGTCAGGCTCATGCTCAGCGTGGAGTCTGCTTAAGACTCTGTCTCCTGGGGTGCCCAGGTGGCTTAGTCAGTTAAGCATCCGCCTTTGGCTCAGGTCATGGTCCCGGGATCCTGGGATTGATCCCCACATCAGGCTCCCTGCTCAGCGAGGAGTCTGCTTCTGCCTCTCTCCCTGGCTCATGCTCTCTCTCTCTCTGTCAAATAAATAAATAAAATATTTAAAAAAAAGAAAGACTCTCTCTCCTTCTCCCTCTACCCCTCCCCCCTCAAATAAATAAATATTTTTAAAAATATTTTATTTGTTTAAAGTAATCTCTCCACCCAACGTAGGGCTTGAACTCACAACCCTAAAATCAAGAGTCACACGCTCCACTTATGGAGCCAGCCAGGTGCCCCTCAGCAACCATTCTTGATTTAAAAAGACGGACCATGAGGCACCTGGCTAGCTCAGTTGGCAGAGCGTGCGACTCTTGATCTCAGTGGTTGTGAGTTTGAGTCCCACGTTGGGTGGAGAGATTATTTAAATAAATAAAACTTAAAAAAATAAAGTATTTTTAAAAAATGGTTGTTGAGTCTATCACATGCCTTTTCAACACCTATGAAGTTCACGGTATGACTTTTCTTATTAAACCCACGAATATGGTAAATTACATTCATGAATTTCCTGAAATTATATTAATGAATTTTCCAAAATATGCTGAACCACCCTTTCATTCCAGGAGGGAATATGCTGAGACAAGTTGTGTTATTCCTTTAACGCGCTGCTGGATTCTGCTTGTTAATGTTTTCTTTAGTTTTTCACGAATCTTCACATGTGACGGTGGGCTGTGATTTTTTACCCCACCCCCAGCCTCCCTCTTTCCTTCCTTCCTTCCTTTCAGGTTTTGATACTAATGTTATACTCACTTGATTGAAAATAATGTGGCTGTGTTTTCTTGCGCCCTGCCTCAGTTTACATAAGGGAGGGCTTTTGTTCCTTCCTCTGCCCGCTTGAATCGTTGTTCCATAAACCTCTATGGGTTTTTTGTCTTGGTTTTTTAAAAGATTTTATTTATTTATTTGAGAGAGAGAGAGCATGAGTTGGGGGGAGGGACAGAGAGAGAGAGAGAAGCAGACTCCCCGCTGAGCAGGGAGCCCAGCGTGGGGCTCAATCCTAGGACCCTGAGATCATGACCTGTGCCGAAGGCAGACACTTAACCGACTGAGCCACCCAGGCGCCCCTAAACTGCTATGGTTTAACAAGGTCTTGGGAGGCTCTTGGAGGGGGAGGGGAGATGGCGGAAGAGGGTGTGGGCTGAGTTCGCGCTTTCTGGGAGGCACGATTTTGATCAGACCGTCTCATACCTGCGCTTTATTTCCTCAAGTGGGTCCGGGCTGCCGAGTGCTCGAGTGTAAGGGTCTGTCTCGTTCTCCAGTGCACCCTCCTCCCCGTGCACCTGTCCCAGCTCTGACCCAACGCAAGAACTGTAAGGCCTGGAAAGTCTGTTGGAATCCCATTGCAACCCTTGGCCTTGTTCACTGGCCCTTCCCAAAGCGGAAGGCCTGATGTCTACACCCTAATCTCCAGGTCCTGTGAAGATGATTTTATCTGGACCAAAGGTCTATTGATGAGAACATCCTGGGTT